AGTAGGAGCAACTGTGGCCGTATAAATCATTGAGCTAAATTTTTGAGTTGCTGAAATGATTGCATGTCACCAGAATGGCCCAGCTTGCTACACCTAGTTGGTAGTGACCATAATCATAAGACAGGCGCATGAGTCACAGCTCTACATTATATATGTGGGTGTGTGGGTATGTGTATATATATATATATATATATAATTTATTTATATATAAATATGAGTTAACAAAACTAGCAGTGTATATTCTGGATGGCATAGTGCTGCAGGTTCAAAGTCTAAAGAAGTTCCCAGCTTCTTTATAAATCAAACATATGCTTCCCCATTCCAATGTTCAAACAGATATGGTCAATTGCTTACCGTTACAGGTTTATGGGCCAATAATTAAATCAAGTTAGTTAAAGTATCACAGTAGAGTTCAGATTCTTTCAGGGGAAGCAAAGACCAAGCTGAAAACTATGGCGGTCCCTCCAAGAGTGGTCCATCAAAGACGAGCTACAATCACAGCTCTGCCTCTCTATTACTCTGGACAATTGTTCAAGAAGCAAAGTGGAGAAAAGGTAAACCTCCTTATATGGGGCAAATGGGTAAGTGAAGAAATTGCTAATAAGGTTATATTTATCAGGATTTTAAGAAGTTTTATGGAGAACTGCGTGGAGCTGCATTGTTCCTCTATGAAGATGTCAAACAAGATACGGTAAAATACATTTTTAACAATTTTTTTCCTTTTACTATTTATTGGTTTTCTTATATGTTAAAGAGGTCTGCAAAAGTCTTGGGAAAGGCTATAAATAAAACACTACACTAGTGCAGGTTGATTTCCATAAGGATCTACGTAAAATCTTGAGAATCAGTTTGTTTGTATGTTAATCCACAATTAATTTTTTGTGTTTTTGCTATATATTAGTACACTGAAAGGCTGGATCTTGACCAGCTCAAATCTATGGACTTAGATGCTCCTTTTAAAAAAATGGCACCGGCAATCTTCACCCTCACCACAGGCACAAAAGAAGTCAAACTAAGGGTAAACATACTTTTTCCCCAATATGTTAAGATGTGAACTCATTCATTAATTTGATTAATGTTTATGAAACCCTTAGATAGACAACGCAGACACAGGAGAAGAGTGGAGAGGATACATCCTCACGGTAGCAAAGGTGAGACAAATGTATGCTAAGAAGACTTATGTTTTGTGTTTGTTTTTCTCAGGTATAGGGGAAATTAAATTCTATCAAATGGATAAAGGTTTGCAGCTCATTCAAGGGCGTATGAGGTATTACACTTTTTAGACTAGTACTAAAGGTAAACTATGTAACCTTTTTGGTGGTGAGTTGCATTTCACCATAGCAAGCAAGCAGATTTTCATTGACCTGTTTTTATTGTTTAAAAATTACTTAAGTAAGTAGCGAGCATTGATCCGAGATAGGAGGTAGGTAAAAAATGAAGACAAGTCATGTAAGTAGTAATGTGTATTTAAATGTTTGTATGTAGACCTTTTATCAGTAGTTATTGTAATTGACAGACTTCTGATAAGTTATCAAATTTTATATTGGTAATACAATAGGACGTGTTTACGTAGCAAATACAAAGAGCTAGTTAGCCAAGTTACAACAGCTATTTAGGTTTTGATAACTTTTATTGATACTGTGCGTGCCACATTACAATTTCCCAGTAACACTTTAGCTAAGAGGAGCTCAAAGTCATCCTAGTTAATAAATATTTTAGGGTGAGCCTGCAGCAGAGGAATATGTCACGTTTTTGTAGCATGTATACAACACCAACCAGTGTTATAAAGAGTACTTTTACTGTATTCAGACCAAATACTTTTTACCAATACTACTTGAAATAGTAGCTGTTTGTATCTGTGGACACAAAAAGCTCTGTCTCCCCTAGTACATGAGTTGGTCCAGGGAACAGTGACCTGAGCATTGGAGAAGGGGAGTGTCTTTTTAGGTGTAAAATACATTTACCCATCTGTCACTAGCATGGCAAAATTGCCATGTAGCCACTGTTGCCCTGGGGTGGACCAACATGTGAGGCTTTATACTTTTGCTTTCAGTAAACAGTAGCTAGTAACAATAGTTTTGGAACAAACATTCATAAAGTATTCACTATTTATTGTGTAAATTTTGCCTTTTTTCTTTTCTGCCAAGAGTAAAGCATTAATAGCTATGGATTACGCTGGATCACTTATACACAGTTAATGTGTACCTCTATAATCTATAGGAATGGGTCTTTTTTGCAGAAGGAGATCCCCAGCACGCTGCAGTTGATGCCTGGTCAGTTGCTGCACTTGAAGGAAACTCTGGCTCAGGAGAAGAAAAGAACAGCTGGATTGGGACCCAACCCACCTTTGCCCCCTCGACCTGCCTTCCTCTCTTCTTCATCACTGCACACCAGTACCAGCTCAGAAACAGACAACAGCAGCCATGGCATGCCTTCGTAAGTTACACTTCAAACATGTTACTTAAAAAAAATATATATAAGCACAAATTTAACAGATTAGTCCAAATAAAGCAAATTTAGCAGCTGCAAATCTACCTCAGCCTACTACCTACCTACACTACATCACTACTGAGAGGCAATGTGGATTTCTCATAAGCATCATGTTCCGAGTTACACAGGATAGGACTGAATATTTAATGTTTTCACCTGTCTTGGGACAATAGATTAAATTTAGCTATTGTATTAACTCCTGCATATTTATGTTTAACCTACTTGTTAAAACTTTGTTTAATATGCACTGTCATAGTTAAAATAAATAATTCAGATTACAGTAACATTGGATTGGATCAAGAATTGGACTGCCAACCTTTACATTATAAGATGTCATCGTGTTCTTCCCAATTTATGTGTTAAAAGTACCTGGCTTCTCCTGACAGGTGCTTCTTCAGTGTATCCCGGCAGGAGGCAGAGCAGATGCTGGAGACAAATCCTGAATATGGGAACATCATCCTCCGACCCTCCAGCAGGACCAATAGTTACGGCTTAACCATGAGACAACTCACAAACAGGTTAAATATTACTTTTACAGCCCCTAATTTATCTTTTTGCATTGTTCTGTCAATTGACCCTCCATAATATTGCAGTGGGCCAGTCATGAAGAACTACAGAGTTACCTCAATTCCAAATTCTGGCTTCATCATTGAACTTGACTCACCGGTACGTTAACAAAATTTACATTAGCGAATTGGGATCTTCCAAAACAATTTTCCTTATGTGTATGCTGATGTGTTTTTTCTTTCCAGGTCAAAGTGCCATCACTAAATGCAGTGATTAGTTATGTTCTTGAGAAAACAGAGTACCGTCTTCAACCCTATAGTCCCTCCGAACCTTACGATACCACAATTGGTAATTTTAGTTTGTAATTTGCCTCTCTCCATTTCCATCTTCCCTCTGTTAATTTTGTGTACACTGGTGGATGAATTTTTACATAGATGAGGCTTGAGTAATTTTACTTGAGGTCATTATGATGATAGACCCTGAATGATTGTGTAAAGATCAGATAACTATTACTTGATAACTGCATTTATGGACAATATTCAGTTTGATTAGTTTTATCATTTGAATCACCAAAGTTCTTTTAATGACGTTCATAACTGGAAAAAATTGAAAACAGTAAAAGCTTCACTGAAAATCATGAATATGGCCCAAACATCAAAATAAAGAAGGAGCTGTCTTTGCTCTGATCAGTACTAACCCAAAGAGAACCAATACCTTTCTTACCTCAGCTACCTCCTCTTTCCTCTTTATAGTTTATCAGCTGTTAACGTGTATTGTAATAAAACCAATTTATCTGTTTTAACTAGAGAAGCCTATAATGCCTTCATCCACTGCAACTTCATCAACATCAAAAATCAAAACCATACCAAAAGCTAAGGTGCAGCCCATAGTCCATAAGGATGTGCCTGTGCAAAGTCCAGTCAAATCAATCGACAATGAATATGTTATTCCAGAAGATGAATGCAAAAATAAGAAAAGTGGTAAGACGTGCTAATACTGAGTGCATATATACGGTGTAAGAGCTGTGAACAAATATCTTCTTACATATTTCTCCTTGGTCTAGAAAGATTGTTTGATGGGGAGCTCCATATAGTCCTACAGAAGAGGAGGGAGATGATCTACAGCAGAAATGATGATCACAATTAAGTTACTTACGAGACAAACCCTTGAGATGGAATTCTGACTGTTAAAAAAATCACTCCAGCTAATATACTGTACTACTGAGGCGTTAACCTAGTGTGAGCACATATTCATCTTTGAATCTTAATCATATCTGTGAATGTTGTGTGTGTGGATTTTTTGTTTGTTTGTTTGTCTTTTGCTTTTCAAATCCATTGTGTGTTTTGTGTGTTTATTTCACTTGGGAGTAGTAATCTACATGAGGCTTGTTTTAAAGTGTACTAAGGGATTTAATATATTCAATATATTCCTCAGCAAATAATAAATTGCACTTTCATTTTAAAAATTACCCTCAGATTTTGTACACCTACACCTAGTGGTTAAGATGTAAATTGCAGCTGCACTACTTAGTATTTGGTGGAGTATTTGATATTCGGTGAAAAAAACATTTTCATTATAAATGTATTCAAGTAAATGCAAATACTTACATGTCTTTTGTATGGAAGTTGTACTGTATTATTGTACAATAAAAATAAGCCTGGAACTCTGTTTATTTTTTATTTTCACACATAGAAGGAAGGCAACACAAAATCCAATATTTTTTTATGTAATGCATTTTGTGCCCATTGTGGATAATATTATAGGTTTAGTATCATTCAGCACTTCATGAACTTTTAACAATGTGAAAAGAGAGATAAAAAAAGAAAACATTCTCCCTTTTATACCTGTCATCACTTTAGCTCAACTCCTTGCTTTGTGTGTAGCAGCCAGTGCAATAAAACATAATAACTTAATATTTAAATATTTAGAAAATAAAACAATAAATTAAAGCATATACTGCCAAAATGAATGTCCTTTTTTAGTGTTCTTGTGACATTACTTCT